GGGAAGTCCTCGTCTTTGCTGTGGAGACGGTATGGCTCGCGGTGTTTCCACTCATCCTCCGGGCGGTCTGTGGTGGAACCAGCTTGGTATTGATGGGCTTCTGGGGATTCATTGTCCCTCTTAGATGGTACGCTGTCCTGCTCTTTACCCATTTTGCTGGTCGTGAATGAGCGTCTAGATTGCTTAGGGGTACTGTGGATATAACCTGACAATAAATGATGGGCGTCCGAACTCTTCGAAGGCGCAGGTAGAGTACGTGGTCTTTGAAGACAGCAAGCAGGGATAAACGAAGATGCGGCACGCCGCGAGAGAAGGCTGCTAGATGTGACCTGTCGTTGAGAAATCGAATGGAATCCGAGACGAAGCAGTGACCTAGGACTCATGAGGATGAAGAAGAATGTAGGAATAGAGAGCCGAGGTCTATATCTAAGAGAAACGAATGATGGGACAGACCAAGTAGATGATTATTCCGGCTTGGAAAGTTTCAGGCGCACACAATCATTTTGTCCACTTGTTTTCTTGATGCGATGGGTACATTTATTGCAGCGGATTGGAGACCCGAGGATGAACCCGGGCGCGGCCAACAACGTCACCAGTTTGAATGGTCTGCAAAGACAATGACAATTGGGAGGCTCGCGTCAGAATGATGACATGCTATACAAATCCCTAAGGGTTAAGGATGGGATTCAGGAGGAATTGAATGCGGAAAAAATGTCGTGTAACTCAATGACACCATGACTCTGCCATCCGCAATCATCATTGAGAAATAGAGATATAGCAGATAGGACACAATACAGAGTATGGGGGAAACGGTGGGAGAAAGTCAGCCAATCTCCAATGTTGGTGACATCATCATCGAGCCTCGCACGTGACTGTGTATATTTGCCGCCACCGACTCGAGATTTCGACAGCCTCGCGAAAAGCGCCAGAGAGACCATAGCCGCCCATCGCCAGTAGAGACAATGTGTATACTGAATTTGAGAGCTATCAGCGCGCTCAGCTGATGACTTCCTTCGCCTCCAACTGTTTCATCACCTCCATCAACACCTCCTTCGTAGTCAGGGACGCCTTCCTGGGATCTTTCCTCACTCTCTGCCACACCTCGCCGTGCTTCGGTTCATTCGCGATGCATTTTGCAATGACATCTTCCCGTTTCTCCTCGGTTCCGTGCTGCATCAGGAACTTGAGGTACCAGGCCCAGCTATCTCCCAGGTCAGGATCCACCACAAGCGCCTTCTCAAACCAATTCATCGCTTTGTCCAGTCTCCGCTCGCTCCAGAATATCCGCGCCACCGTCACAAACAACACAGGATCGTTATCCACAGCCTTGATGGCTTCCAGACTCAGAGGTTTACGCTGCGTACGCGGTTGTAATTTCCAGATGTTCTCAGACCACAGAAGCCCTGACTTAGGACACTCTTGCAACCCTTTGGACATAAGGATTTTGGCCTGCTGGACATTCGGGGGGTTGGCATGTAGCTCGACTCTGACACTCTCGGCCCATAGCTCGGCATTTTTCGGGTTCTGGAGGCGTGCACGGTCAAGCACGGAGCGCGCTTTGATGATGATGCCTTCCTTTTGTTCGAGTCTCGCCGCCAGAAGCCACAATGGCACAGACTTGGGGCACGCTCTGGTGCCCTGGGCATACGCTTCTCGCGCCTGAGGTACCATGCCCTTATCCTCGTAGATTTGTCCCTTCATCATCCACAGCTTCGCACTTCGTGGAAAGCGTGTCTCTTTCTTATCGATCACTCTCGACGTGAGACCTTGAAGAACCAAGTCGAGGGCGACATCGGTGTTGCCCAACTGCCTTTCGTATGCCGCGCTCTTATACCATACTCGCTCAGTTGGTGCCTCTTGTCTCGCCGTCGCAAGAAGTTCTCGTGCTTGACTGACCTGCCCGGCATCGGCCTCCAACCTGACCGCTGCCAGCCAGATCTCCTCGTTATTGGGGTTTTGATTGAATGCTTTACCGAGCACTCGTCGGGCATCGTCAACTTCTCCGGCATGCCATTTCTCCCTTGCCAGCTGGAGCCATAATTCTTCTGATTGAGGACAAGCCTCGACGGCCTTTTCCAAAACTTGCCACAGGGCGTCTTTGGTACCATGGTTCCTCTCGAGATCAGCTGCGGCCATCCACAGTGATTTGCTGGTGGGGAAGACTCGTAAGGCGTAGGCATAGATAGCTCGAGCGGTCTCGAACTTCTCCCGTCCAATGCTTGCCTTGGCGTCATCCTTGAAGATCTCTTTTCGGTCATCATCCTCGTCGAGAGTCCAGCCGAGAGTCTCCCGAATGATGGCGCCACACGTCAAGACAGCACCCTCCTCCTCGCATTTCTCAGCCTCCGTGATCCATTCTTCGCGCTTGAGCATGGCTCCCTCCTTCACCAATGCTTTCACGGCACGATTCATGATATTGACTTTATTGGCGTTGCCCATTTGTTCTTGTAACCTGGCCGCAGCAATCCAGATCTCGTGGCTGGTGGGTACAGCCTTTCGAGCCTTGTTGAGGACAGCCTGAGCATTCTCAGGCGTCTCCAGACGAGCCAAAGCAAGCCAGAGCTCAACGGACAGCGGAATAATCTCAGTAGCCTTTGCCAGCAAGAGTCTCGCGTCTTCCGGATCCTCCTCCAGATTCACTGCTTCCTTCCAGATCGCTACTGATTGCGGAATATGGTCGATCGCTTGCCGGAGGACTCGTTTCTTTGCTCGAGGGTCTGTCTCCAGTCTCATGGCCTCAATCCACAATCTGGTGGATCGTTCGTTGTTCTTGATGGCGTTGGCAGCAATGATCTTGGCGTTCTGTCCTTCGTTGAGCCGGATATTTTCCAACCAGGCATCCTCACTCTTTGGACACATCTCACAACCCTGGGCCATCCTTTTCCTCGCTGCGACAATCTTACCAGCGTATTCTTCCAAGCGCGCAGCGGCAATCCAAGCTGGTGCGTGTTTGGGGTTGGTCTTAATCACGGAGTCGAGCAAAGTCCGTACCCGCTGAATCTCGCCGAGCTGTACCTTGGAGGGATCGAACTCTGACGTCTCAAGACTGGTGAGATATCCTTTCGGATCAATCGTCGTCGCTGTGCCTGTACCGGCGTCCGCCTTTGCCGCCCTGTCTAGCCTAGTTTGTAGCACCCTGTCTCTTGCAGCACCAATATCGGCAAAGTTTGTCATGGTTCCATCCTTGTGGTCCACAGTAGTGACAGCGCCGTCTGCGGTATCATCTTGCACGCTGGTTGAAAACTCGGCAGCATCCCTCGCCCTCGCAAGGACGCTGTCAGGTACAACATAGGAGCGCTGATGTCGGTTCTGTCTCGCTCGTCGATTCTTGCCTGTTAGGTCACCGGGATCTGGAATGTTTGCCCAGTCGTCGTCGGTTAATGTGACGAGGCCGCGCTTCAGATCAGCAAACTGATCCGAGATTTTTGGGTTCTTGCGGTTGTACTCCTCGAGCTCTTCTCGTTCTCGTTCTTCCCTAGAGGACGGCGAAGGAATCATGTCGGTAATCTGTTCATTCCCATGTGGAAAAGATAAACCACGTGTCTTTGCGAAGGGAGGGGCAATTGGGAAGGGTGGTACTAACCTTAGTCTTTTCCGACGCTTGCCCATGCGCTCATCCACATCCTGATAGATTCTATCTGCCTCGTCGTCGTCTTGTGTGAAAGTGCCAGAGGCAAACAGGCCTGTCTCGTTATCCGGGTCCTGAAACCGGTCGTCATCCTCCTCTTCTTGCTCCGGTTTCTTGGTGCTGGCGCCGTACGCCGTGGGGGGAGCTGCACCGAGTTGCTGTGCTCGTCGCGCAAGAGCCTCTTGGATCTGTTCGGCGCTGGGTCCATCTCGAGCAGGGCCCAAGTCGGATCGAGTGGTGAAGCCGGTTGCGCCTCGACCGAGACCGGCAACGTAATTTTCGGGGGCTTGTTGGTTGAGAAAGTCGCGCCGCGACATGGTGAAGGTAGGCTGGCGGCACCTTAAAGCCGCAAAAGAAGACGGTAGTAGTGGAGAAAAGTGTGCAGGACACCCTGCTGAAGAGAAAGGGAGGGATCAGCGAGGCCAAACAGGTGATGAAGAACAAGTTTTGAGTCAGGTACTGTACTTTGGTACGAGGCTGGCGTTCTGCATTTCCCCACAGATCAAGATTATGCTGCCTTTTACCGCCAAGAGGACCTAAACAGTCTAGCGATGATTGGCCGTTGAAGTCTGGCTTGTCAGACGCCGGGGTGTCACGTGTGTCCCCTTGTGAAAAACGCCGGACTTTCAAAAGCAGTCGCCCGAGTCTACGTCTCAGGCCTGATAACACTTTGGCTCTACCTGACCTTGGTTCCGCGATATGATCATAGCTGGCATCGCCTGGAGGGCCCTGGCCAGGAGAATTTTGGGGCGGTTCGGGTGAGCCATCCTTACCGAGGGACGGTGTCAAACACCTTTTCGGCCTTTACAGCCTTGGTGGACCAAGACTCGGCAATATACAATACTTCCGAGCTGGCCTCAGGTCAAAACCCCGAGTTCCTCAAAACATAAGAAGGAAACACTCTCGTTTAGTGCCCTAATTTTCCGGCACCATTGCAGGCTACAGCAAACGACCCTTTCCCCCCTTCGATGAATACTTCGGCTGCTGGGCCACAGAGGGCTGGAGAAAGCGGAACACGCGCCCTCAAATCCAACAAGGCGTGTGTACCCTGCCGTCTTCGCAAGGTCAAGTGCAATGCTGCCGTGATCGGCCTTCCCTGCAGCAGCTGTACCAGTAGGCAGTGTGCCAAGGACTGTGTACTGCCAGCCCGGAAGAGTCGGACCAGGTGAGTTGATTGCTGGTGGGATGGGTTATGGTTCATGGTTCATTAGGTGCGTGCTAACATAGAAGGGGCTTGAAGGAAGGTAGTACATGTTTCCACGATTCCTAGCCAGGTACGAATATGCTTGAGAGGATTGGCACTATTCCAGCTCCTTCTCTTCACCCTCCTTTCTTCTGCTCCTCTGGCGATCCTTCAGAAGTCCCACTGACCATGGCCAGACTACAGGCATCCCCGCTACATCCGACAGTCGCCAGTTGGATAGTCTCAACCAATCTGATCAATCTGATCATTCAGAGCAACCTTCCACTTCCGATCCCCTGGATTGCCAAAACCCACGTCAGACGGAGCCAGATCTGCTCTACCTCAATATCCTAAATGACGCCGTGAAAGAACCGACAGAATCCAGCCGACTCCCCAGCGCTTCTAGTACCCCCTACCGCCCAGGCCCGGAAGATAGTTTTACTACTCGGAACTGTCTATGGACTAAGCTACCCCAATTAGACGACGTTGACATTGACTATCTTGTCAAGAAGGGTGTCTTTGATCTACCTCTTCCGCGCTACTTGTAAGAATCCTCTATCGCTCTGTCTTCTTTGGATCTCCGTCTCCACTCTACTCACAAACAAAAACAACAGAGATGCCCTTGTCAAGACATACTTTGACCATGTCTACCCCTTTGCTCCTGTGATCAACAGAGCTGAATTCATTCGCCGTTATCAATCCGGCGACTGCTCGTTGTTCCTGCTCCGCGTCATATTGACACCAGCCAGTCTCTATGCTCCAGCAGATGTCTTGTCCGCGTGTGGCTTTGCCAGCCGCTCGGTCGCGCAAGAGTCATTCTTCTCCAAGGCCAAGCTACTCTACGACTTTGGCGCCGAAGACGACTCCTTGTTGTTGCTGCAGGGATCCATCATCTTGTGCACGGTGATTCTCGACCACCCCACCAATTGGGACTTCGGCTTCTGGTTCCATAACGCGATCCGCCTTGCCACCAAGCTTGACCTACGCAACACGTGCGTTTCCTACTCCTGGGCTGTGACACCCGTGACATGTATTGCGAGAACTAACGGCCTACCGACTCTCCGACAGATGTGTTCGAGAAGATAAACCCCGCAAAATCTTGAAGTTGTATAGAAGGATCTGGTGGGGTCTCTATGTACGTCGTCCTCCCCTCATCGTCCTCTGTTCTTCTTACTTTACGCTTACTATAGCTGTGTAGTTTTTGGACATTTTCCACGTCTTTATCAATACCAGACGCTCCCGACTACTCGAAAACACCTCGGCGATCAAGCCTCGGACGGAGGATGACTGGGAAGCGGAGGATATCCCAGCAGTATCATCCGGCTTGCTCCCGGCGGTGACGCCCCAGCAAAAGGCCTCCCCTATTGTCCACTGCGAGTTGTCTCGAATATGTGTGTTTTGGTTCTATTCCCTTTTTCTCTTGATTTTCAATCTGTAACTGATACCACAAGCATAACTAACTCTATTTAGTCGGACAGTGTTTGTCCCTTGTGACAAACAAGCCAGAGCAGGACCCACGCCAAATGATGCACCCACTCGATGTATGGCGCAAGTCTCTCGCTGCCAAGATGCACATAGGTGGGAATACTGGAACTGACGTCTACTATCTGAATATACAAGCCATGAGCTACAGGTTTGAGTGCATCTTGTGTCGTCTGATACGTCGCTGTTGGCAGCAGTCCCAACACGCGGACTGGAGCGAGTGGGCCAAACAGCGGCTTCGGTCCGCTATTCTGGAGTTGGACACAATTGCCATGAGGGTGTTGGCTAGTGGTACGCTTCACGAGTTTCCCATGTCTTTGTAGGTGCCATCCATTCCTCGCTATTCTGCCATGTCTGGAAAAAGAGAACGCAGTAATACAACTAACAATGGCCGTGTCAGCGTAACCACAATAACTGCGCTGCTCGCTCTTCACATCGAATCGGCCCTCGACCCAGCCGAGACAGAGCTCGTCCGTTCCATGGCTCGGATCTCCATCAACCAGACCATGCTCATCCTGGTACAGGGAAAAGAAATACCCGCCCTCAGAAGAGCGCTGCCGGTGTTCGAGGAGATTCTGGCCAAGAAAAATCTGTACTTGGTTCCGCTCAAAATGCTCGACCAAGTCCCTGTGCAGTCGCAGTCCCAAGACAACAGCATGCCGAATGCGTCCACTTGCCCGCATGCACAGGTCAGTGTAGCTTCGTCTCAGCTGGAGCAGGGTGAGGATGGTCCGTCGTTCGTTCCGGATTTCTTGGAGTTTGATTTCCTGGATGAGTGGCAGATTGGGCAATCGGATTTTACGAGTCGATATTGACGTCGGTCTCACAAGAACGGGAGGCATTGAGGGCGCATGCATTCTCTCGTGTCGGTACGATTACTTTTGGGGCCATCCTAAATGTGCGGGACTGACACGATGTGCAGGAGACAGCTGGATTGTCCAGGCAGACTCACAAGAGTTGGAGTTCCGGCTCTAGGCGGTGGCACCAGCATTTATACTCCTTCCCGGCTGACTGTTAATCTATGAGTCTATGTGTACAGTACAAACAGCCCTGGATTGGAGTACAATTTGGAAACTCAGTCATCACGCCAGGGTAAGTCTCAAGGTCACCCTCCTCCCGTCCAGAAGATTGGATAGAGGAGAACCGCCAAATTGTGTTGTTCCAAGGTCACTAACACTCTCGATTTAGATACGGCTTCTCGGCCGAAATCATCACCAGATATATGTCGTCGAGGCTTACCGTCCTTTAAGTGTCCTTTGGTTCTTCTATTCAGCCTTCGTTTCCGGCGCGTTTTGTTCGCTCCTAACCACGGCGATGTGCCGACGATGCATCATCTCCAGCACCTTTGCTGCTTCGGCAGCATACTTGCACCTGGAGCGGATCTGCGGACCGTACTTGTAGAACAGAAACGGGAAAGGCAGGCAGCCAATCACCAGGAACGCAGGAATGGAGCTCGCCCATTGATTTCCGAGATTTCGGTACATGCGGGTGGTAAACAAGGGGAAGGCGGTGCCGAACAGGGACCGAAGCACCGAGTTGGCTGCCAGCACAGAGGCAGCATAGACGACATCTGGACACAGGGTCAGCATGTGCATTTGTTTGCAGAGCATCACAAAGCAAAGGAGGTCAAAACGCACAAGAGTCGACCAGATAGCTCATTAGCGAGATGAAGACCATGACCAGTCCCGCCGCGAAAAACATGCCGCCGATAATGGGTGCGATCCAGTGCACCGATGGATACGTCGTCCATGCAAAGAGGAACAGACCAATCGGAAGGACAATCGAACCTGCCATAGCCGTGCGCAGTCTGGCTTCTGGCTCGACCGCGCGTCCCTCTGCTTCGGCTGCCTCGCACTGGCGCACGAAGCGCTTGTTGTCCACACCGGCCGCTAGGGTGGCAAGACAGACGCCAATGGCGACACCGACAAACGGAAGTCCGGCGATACCCTGGCTCCAGCCTCGAGCGGCTTGGAAGACGATGGGAAACCCGGCAAAGAACATGTACAGCGTGCCGTAGACGATTGAGATGTACAGCGACGCCAGTAAGACAATGGGTTCGCGGAACAGAAGGACCCAGGGACGCGTGAAAGAGACCGAGAGCTCCTGCGAGAGTGTCTTGGGCGGCTTTCCCGCATCGATCCGGGACACATATAAACTTCTCGTCATCCGGGAGAGGGCCTTGGCTCGACGACGCAGAATGAACGGCGCGTATGTTTCGTGGGTGGTCAGTGACGTGGCAATCCAGATCAGACCGCCCAGTATGGCGCTCAACCCGAGAGTCCAGCGCCAGCCCTGGGTCTCGGCAAGAAAACCGCCAGCAACGGGGCCTACAGAGGGCAAAAAGGGAGGGAGATAAGAATCAGCAAAGTGTACACGGGCACCACGGGGGAAAAATGGCAGCATAGAAGAAGGACGTCCACCACCTACCAAGTGCAGGGCCCAGAAAGGGAGCCGTGACAAACATGCCTGTCGCCATTCCACGCTCCTTCTTGCTGAACATGTCGGCGATGACGCCCCCAACATTGGTCATTGACGACGAACCAAACGCGCTCGCAAGGAAGCGAAGAGCCAGCAAAGTCGCGATGTTGGGCGCGCACGCCGCCGCCACGCTGAAGGCCGTGTATGCCGTGAACGAAACCACAAAGATGGACTTGCGCCCGTACACCTCCGACAGAGGTGCCCAGATCAGCGGTCCCAGGGCGAAGCCCAAGACGAAGAGCGACAAACCCAGTGTGGCCACCTCCCTGGACACACCAAAGCGCTGCGTGATGCCTCCAATGCCACTGACGTACACCGAGCTAGCAAAGGTCACCGCGAACGTCGACAGCGACTGGAGAACGGCAATGGCCCATTTTCGCCCCTTGGTAAAATTCATGGCGTCTTGGCTGTCGTTCTGCAGGAAATCGATAATGTAAGGGTCGTCGTCTGTGCCACGGCCCGGATAATTCTGGTTGCAGACATCGTCGTCGAGGCGTATGCGGAGAAGAGATTGGATCCAGGACATGCGTGGAGAGGAGTCCTTGATTCGCTGCGGGCCGTCGTCGTCGACGGCAACGGGCACGGGAAGGCCGGCCATGATGGGAAAGACAGGAACAATGGGGAGGGAGGGGGAAGGGCCGTGTCGAGATTCAAGAACGTGGGCGGAGGAGGAGAATCGATGAGTCTTCACTTATTGCCATCTTCTCACCGAGTAGAAAACTCGCCATTCATATAGTTCATGTCGGAAATTGGGACTCGGAGTTTTCAGTGCAGAGCACATATTGGCGAGAAACAGAAGCCCGCGGCATTATCTACGCGGCGAGAAAGATTTAGTTCCTGGCACGGCAAAGTCAGGTGGTGCTCGTGAAGGGCGACAGTCACAATACACGGGGAAATGAGATGCTCGAATCTCGTATAGATGTATCAGAGTCATGTTCAATCCAGATGCGAATGTCTATACAAAACGGCTTCTCTGGAGAGTCAGAAGAGGTTTTACGGAGCAGTCAAAAAATACCACTGTCAAATCGTAGCTGAAAGCGCTAGTAATAGTGAGTATGAAAGTCGCCCTAAATCTACGTATTCTACATAACCGATAATTACAAAACGTGCAGTGGGGACTTCGGAGGTACTGTGCTCGGTACCAAGTACCGAGTACCTCGTACGTAGCCAGGCTGCCAGGGTAGTCTAACACTACTAAGTGGGTGCTAAGTGTTTTAAAATGCGGCCTAGGTCGCTTAGTGGTAAAGTTTCCACTGAAAAAAAAAAGTCACCGGCAAGCCTGCAACTTCAAAATATCTACCCAGTGCCGCCTCGTACACGACGGAATCTCACCCCGCCCTCCAGCCCTTGCGAGGCTGTTATTCTCATTTCCCTTGCCGGAGTCTGTTTCTTAAGAGACTCCGGCATTATCTTCGCCCAACATGCCAAAGGTCAATGTCAAGCGGCGCTCCGGCGCATCCTCCTCCTCCTCATCGCCCTACTCCAAGTCCTCGGCCGCCACGAACGCGATCTTCAAAATGAACACGGACATTGGTCAGCACGTCCTCAAGAATCCTGGCGTTGCCCAAGCAATAGTTGACAAGGCGGACCTCAAACAATCCGACATTGTGTTGGAAGTCGGCCCTGGCAGCGGAAATCTCACGGTCAAGATCCTGGAGAAGGCCAAAAAATGTGTCGCGGTGGAATTGGATCCGCGCATGGCTGCCGAAGTCACCAAACGAGTCCAGGGCACCCCTCAACAGAAGAGACTCGATGTGCTCCTGGGGGACGTGATCAAGACAGAACTGCCCTACTTCGATGTCTGCATCTCCAATACTCCCTACCAAATCTCCTCGCCTTTGGTATTCAAACTTCTGGCCACAACCCCCGCGCCCAGGGTGTGCATATTGATGTTCCAGCGCGAGTTCGCCATGCGCCTCTTCGCCAAACCCGGCGACAAGTTGTACTCGCGACTCAGTGTCAATGCGCAAATGTGGGCCAAAATAGATCATATCATGAAAGTCGGCAAGAACAACTTCAAGCCGCCTCCGCAGGTCGAATCCAGCGTTGTGAGATTGGTCCCGAAAGTACCGCGACCGAACATCAGTTATGAGGAGTGGGACGGGCTTCTGAGGGTATGTTTTGTGCGGAAGAATAAGACGCTGCGGGCCAACTTTTTGGGGACAAGTAGCGTTTTGAGCATCCTGGAGCAGAGCTACCGCACGTGGTGTGCGCAGAACGACATACCACTCGAAGAAGGACCTGCCGACGACGCGATGCTGATGGAGGTCGAGAACATTCAAGACGGCCCCCACGGTGAAGGGGACGAGGAAGAGGAATGGTCCGGCTTCATGGACGTCGACGACCAAGACGAAGACAGCCTCCCCAGCCTGCTGAAAGAGCAGTCCAGCAAAGCGCGACATAACCAACCCACGGAGCGCTCCGTCTCGCGCAAGAAGCGCGACAAAGTCTTCCACCTCGTCCGGGAGAAAGTCCGCTCCGTCCTCGAAGACAAGACCGCTCTGGCGGACAAGCGGGCGCGCATGTGCGACGAAGCCGACTTTTTGAAGCTGTTGTACCATTTCAACCTGGAGGGCATCCACTTCCTGGGAATCAAGCACGGCGAGTAGATGAGAGGCAGCACAAAGGTACGCACTCTGCAGTGTGAGCTTTTGAGTTCCGCCGACGACACAATAAGCGCGCATTCCTTGCCCGAACAGACCAAGAGGGCTCCGACCCCGACAAAAGGAGGTTGAGAGAGACCTCGAACCAAAGGTTTAGAACTTGTCTACCGGCAGGACTTGTCAACGCCGCAACAAATGGTCACCCCCCTCGGTTTTATCTCTGTCCCTACATTCCATACGACAGCGTCGTTTGCTGGCACCAACAGATACGCACCACACATCATCGACGGACGATGCGAGGGCAAAGGTATCCCGGCACGAAATAGAATATGGCACGAGTCTAGTGCCTACCTCATAGGACAAAGTACCCGAGGAAGAGGACGGTGGATAGACGGGGCTGTCTGCAAGAAGGAAAAAGTGCATATCTTGGTAGATTTGTGTATGGATGGCGTGGACAGACCGATTATATGCCTGGTTCTCCCTGTCATAGGCAAGAGATATGGTGGGTATGTATGCCACCAGGCCTCCCCGGCCACCTCTAGTTAACGACTGACGAAACTGCCCGACTTGATGAGAGAGATACCCCAAGCTAGAAGGAAAAATGAGTAAATGAAAAGAGGCTGAAACATATCACAAGTATTCACATGCTATCTCTTGAGTCGGTCATTGTTTTCGCTCTGTTATTATTGTTCTTTGCTATCTGCGCGGCGACGTATGGTCTACTCGGGGATTGGTGGTTGCTCAACCAGAGCCCAACCCCCCGTAAAATCGTCTATATCCTTCGAGGATACCTAAGGGTGCCCCTGCTTGTATTGGGACATCCAGAATGCACGAGGACAGTTTGTAGTCGTGCTCAGAAGTCGGGCCCAGGCCACATCGATTCGATATCATTCCGACGCCGTGCCAATTCATTCACATCATTCGATCGTATATATTCATCACATCGTCGCCGAAAAGTTGGAAAAGCGCACAATTCGACCTTTGGGTCTATCTTCAAACCCAATTCCGACAAGTTTGTGAGGGTGCCTCATTGGCATCCTTTCGCAGATCTTCCAACCACCAGAATTCTAGGTTGACATGGCCAGCCAGATCAACCCCGAAAGACCAGACTCGTCGAAAAGACACAGGAGAGTTCTTCAAACAGAAGGAAAGTCAAAGTCAGAACACTGTGTAAACACATCATCCCGAAGAAAAAGGGCCGCTCGCTGCTTTTCATGTGGCATCCGAGTGCCACGATGCCCATCGCTCTTCGGACAAGCAGATGGAAACAGAAATCCTGCCATGTTCTCGCTTTTGAGTCGTAAACGCACACAAAGCGTGACCGAGGGTATCAAACAACTTTTGTGTTCGCCTTTTTTTGAGGTCTGCTTTTTTCAACACAAGAAAGGTCGGTAATTATCCCCAACCAGCAGAAAAGCAGCGGCAGCGGTCAAGGCATGGCCGGCCTGTTAAGAAGCACAGCATGCTTGAAGAAAACAACTAAGAGATTCAGGGGATCAAGAGCCCCCCCGCCATCGAAATTGAACAACCCGAACGCTTGGAGAAAAAAGACACGTGAGAATGGCCAACCCGAAGTGAAAAGGAATATGGACGAAGAACCAACTCCGCTCAAAGCTTGACCCAAAGACATGGTACATGAGGTAGAAAATTTCATAGATCGAGGTAGCTGTAGTCGACACTTTGGCGAGCAGAATAGTCCTGGCTACGCCGATTCATGCTGGGTGCTCGACTAGGCTGGCGACTTGATCTTAGACTTGGACCACGTTCTTCCAGATAAGAAGGCCGCCTGGACGTGGACACCTCTCGATCTCTTTCTCGAGCCGAGATGACACTGCTGGACACACTCTTTTTGGAATTTCGACTCGTAACGCTCGGTGCGCGTTCGATCCTCTTTTGCTCCTTGGGTCGCTCATTCTCTTTGCCTTCGGCACCCACTGACAGGACGAGCCCTCCGATACTGATGCTAAGAGGTCGTCCGTCTTTGTTGATATAATCAGGAGGAATCGTCATGTTCAAGCCGCCGGGAAGAGTGATACTAGTTTTTGTGCCGCTAGTCTGACTCCTTCCCCGACCAGAGGAATCTTTGGAGGACGACTGCCGACTGAAATTGCTTCCTGTTTCAGATCTCGAACTTGAGTTGCGCTGGTCCAAGTCACGAAGAGCTTCAGCGGTTAGTTCATTTGAGGTCTTGTTCCGCCTCGACTGGTATTCTTCGATCTCGGCTTCCTTGTCTTCCAAAGGGACAGCCATACGGCGAGGAACGGGGCGAGGAGCCGAGGTTGCAACTTTTGTAACGGTCGTTCCGGCTGAATAAGAAACAGATTTCCTGGGCAATGGCCGATCGCGTGCCTCCGGAAGTCCAGGAGGGCGGTACGACGAGGGTGGGCGAGAAGAAGATTCTCTGCGCTCACGAAATGCTGAAGGAGGAGGTCGAGATGGTCTGTATTCATGGTCGTCGTCGCTATCGTACCGCTCTGGCTCATACACAACTCTTTCGCGAAGTTGTGGCTCCTGCGGATGATAGGTTTTCGCCCTTCGGTTGCTGGGGCGACGTGTCAAGACAACTTCAGGTTGGGGTGGCCGTGGAGGTGGTGGCATGATTGCCCGATCATCATCTTCGAGATTGCGGGTAGATTTTTGAGATGAGGGCAGTGGGCGAATCTCCTTTGGAGGTGTTCGTTCGAGAGTCATGATAGCGGAATCGGGGTGACCTTGTCGAATAACAGGTTCGCCATAGACGCTGGACCGTCGGACCGGGCTGGGATGTCTGCTTGGCCTCGCCGAACGTGGCTCAGGGATGGCCGGTTGGTCGAAGTACGAGGGAAAAGGCTGGTAAACAGTATACGACGGTGTCGGCAACGGTGCGGGAACGACATATGAGTACGGCATTGGACTATAGGGTACGTTTGGTGTGACAGGGGTTGCATAGCCTGATGTCGCAACGGCTGGAGGCCCATACATTGCATGATTGACGTACTGTAGCGGGATAGGAGCA